TTAAGTTTTCAGTCGTAGTTAGAACTACATTGTATGAAAGCACGTATTGCCAGCCGCTGTGCATGGTTACAAGACCTAGACATTAACGGAAAAAGATAAAGTACTCTTCAGAATGCTAGGAATTTCCATCATGGACAAGTTGCGAAATGGTGAAATTAGATGATGCACGGTATTGCATGACGTAGTATCACTCTCGCCAAAAAAGGAAACATCGCGAGTGAAATTTTAACGATGGACTTCGCAAATGAACGGTTGGCAAAAAGAAGCTGCAAGCGCCTCTTGGAAGACCCCCAGCACAGCGAGCTGCTAAGAGAGAGATACTGAATTCTTGTAGAGACGTATCGCATGACACAAACATAAATAGATTTTGAGAAGACAGTGGTGATCCTCGTTAATTAAGAAGAATCAAAAATAAAAATATTTGTTATTAACTTGTTATGCAAACAATATTATTACTAGTGATTTTTCATTATTATTTGTAAGTAACATCATTTGCACTTGTCCCGTGCCATGCAACCACCTTGGCATGCGTTTCCTTTAGATGTGGTCAGAAAGATGTGATATCGCCGAGGCGTGTGATTTATCCATTGAGAGGAAATCTTTTGAATGTGATGATCTTCGGCTCTGAGCAGTTGGCAAAGCAAGTACTGGATGAATTTCAGGTAAGACCAACCGACAAACCACGGAATTCCTTTGATCTATTTGATTCCGTTGTTTCTAGCTTTACGTCAACGACGATATGTTCGAATTTCACAGAACTGCGTTTCATGTCAAGTTTACCGTTCAGAGCGATTCTGATTTGCACGACGAGTTACATCGGTGGACCGAGTATAGGCCGAACGGTGGGTCTCCAATAAGTCATTAAGTGATCGTTTAGAAAATTTTTAGTATCATGCTTAGGAGTAAACGCGAATAGCTGAGATTGTCGCTTTTGTAGACATAAGGCGTTCTTACATAAAGTACAGAAATACTTAATATTTACGAATTTCTGTTCACCGTAAGAACAATTTCACTTTAAGTGCGCCAGGATTGGGATTACGGAATCGGTAAGGCGTCAGGTTCGGTCTGAGAGGTGCTGGATTCGATCCCGTGTGAGGCCACTCGCTATTTTCCGTCCGGCGTTCATAAATGAACACCGCTCTGCGGGATGAAACATGAGGCTATGCAACATCCTTTTCGCGTAACCGCTGCTGACCTCGCCTCTAGAAAAATGTGGCACTCCTGGTCGATGGCGTGGAAATGCAGATCAGCGCCCCCATCATGAAGTT